AAAGGAGACTTTGTTTTTACAGAATTTAGCAGCTTTGTATTAATACCATCAGCATAATAAAGTTCAGTTATTAATGCCTTAGTGTTTTTTACACCCAGTCTGTAATGAATATTATTTAACAGATAGCATACACATGAAGAGCTATTGTGGGGGGTAAATTCATGGCTGCATTGGGAAGCACTAAGTAAGCTTAAACTCCAAGTAAATGCATATATCTTAAGGGAACTTCAGTCTGCTCCAGTAATTGCTAAGGAATTGCCATTTCAGTAAGTGAATTTAAGCTTGGATTGAAAGAGCATCCCTGAAGTACAGGTTATAATCTGCTGTGTTGCTCAGTTTGGGTTGCGGATAAATTGCGCTGATATTTTCCATTTTTATTTTATATTGTCCTCTGCTCGTCTTCATTCGTCATTTGGATGGCAATATTTCTGGAGGATTTGAAGCCTAATTGTCATTATAAGCTAGAAGTCTCTCCCTTGGTGGCAACAGCGGAATAATGATGTCTGACATGAGACATTCACGATGGCCTTACAGCCGGGTGCTGGCTTTCAACTCTGTCTCTCTATATTGTAGATTGCAGAGTAAAATACTGGCTCAGATCAAATAATTAATTCTCAGAATATTTCCCTGGTGTGAAGTTATCACCGGTTGACACATTGCAGTTTTTTTAAAACCTGCAGCAGGAAGTGGTACTTCTGTTCTTCTCATTATATAAACAGTTTTGTTATTTGAATTTTATTACATTTTTCATGATTGAGAAGCCAGTGGAAAGTGAGAAACGTTATCTGGCTTATCTCTTCTGGAGGAGAGTGTTTTTGGTGACTTTATTGACTTTTAGTATACTGTAGTTGTATAGCACTGTTTAACCAGTGCTGGATGTATGCAGAACATTTTTAAATTGCAGTTAGTACTTCCCATCATCCATGCATTCATTCCTCCAAACTGCTTATCCTGTGTGCAGTGGTGGCGATGCAGAAATCGATTTCAGGAAGCACAGGAGTGACAGGGGAGACTTTGGAGAGAAGGCCATCATGTCAACTTAATCATTTAAAAAGAAATTGAGATCCTTGAAATTCTCAAATTTTGACATTTGAGGGTGATGTCCCATGCAGCCCCGCCCTGTGCCCCGATCCCTGCGCTTCTCTCAGGCCTGGTTCCACACCAGCTCCACCAGTTTGTTAGTCTTACCTCATGTTCCTCCTCTCTTGTTAACCAGCCGCCTTGCGTTTGCCCCTTTGTTTAGTCCTGTATTTTAGTGTCACTTAGTTCTGTGCTCCCTGTCTGGTCATTGTGATCTGTCAGCGTCTGCCAACCTGTCCTGTTCACCTCCAAAAAACACCCCTACACGAGTTTTGCATGAAAGCAGCCTACATTTGGGTCGTGTAGTATTTGCCGTTGGGGCAGGTGGATTTTTTTTAATCAAAATAAGAGGCTAAATGGATTTAAAATGGCATCTATATTTCAAATGGGATGAATTCAAAGCACATATTCTGTGGAAAACAAGGCAAGAAAAAGGTGCATGTTAATGAGTTCTCATCTGTCACAATAAAATGTGCAGAGATGGCATTGGCACTGAGTGCCCAGCCGGCGACTTTCATGCTAAGAGGCTCTTACTGCAACTGCAGTAGTTTTATTAATTTAAATGTGTCCCACTGAACGTTAATGCACCTTCCAAACAGCAGCCTTCTTCTGCAATACTATACTAATTAACAATTTAGTTGAAGTGTATACAACCAGTCAAAGAACCAGGATTAAAAGCACAATGACTACTGCATTTTTTATTTCTTAGCCACAAACCATGTTACAGTGTTTCGCTGTTGTGGAGAGCTGTGTTCTTTGCAAAAGGAAAACAAGAGACAAAATGAAATAATGTACAAAGAATATCTGGAAATGTATGATTCTCATATTTTTCTATAGTATATTTATATTTTACCTTGTATATATATTATATTAACATTATCTTTATAATGAAATTAATGATTGTTCGCATTAGAATTAGAAATATATTTGTGTAGATTTAGCAGGACATGAGTAACAGTGCCAATAAATTAATAATGAAAAAAGTGAGATTGCCTTGGCAGAAGCGCTTGAAATGTGTTTCTGGGAATTATTCCAGCAGAAAAAGGCAAAGGTTGAGACAGGTGTTCTTAAATATTGAACACTGAACACCTGCAGTGGAAAATGTCATATTTATATGTAGCCATATTTATATGTAGCCTTTTAACCTTTTAAACAGACATAAGCGAAACCATTACAGTACAGTGGAAAGGACGATGTCGAGAATGACACCCAGCAAAGATAAATCATAAAGATGCCCCTCTCTAGCTGTACATTTGTACGTCTTTTAATGTCATTTGTGTGCTCAACCCCCCCATACACTATTTAATCCAATAATCAAGAGTCCCAGTATTTCATCATTGTCCATTAACTTTTGATTCATTTGTCTTTAATTGTCTTTCCACTGTTATCTTACCTTATAACTCATCATGAAATGGCACTATGAATAAATCCTTCAATATTATAGGACTTTGATTGCATTTAATGTTGATTGTGGACAGGATTTTTCAATTTCGCTTTATCCATATTCAACACCCCCTGTGAAACTGTGTGTAACTGATGCTTTTTGGTATTGTAATTCAGATGGAATTGTTCTAAGAAATAGTGGCTTTTCTTTGTTCTGATCTGCCATCCCTAGCTGTGGGTAATGTACTGGCCCTGTAAGCAAATTTCACCTATACAAACATCCTAAAGAATGAAATAATATATATGTATATTACACTTGCATATTATTCTATTTCAAGAATTATTTCTCAATTAAACTAGTAGAAAAAGCTGCCTTGTTTCTTTCAACGTCTCCTGCAGAAATTTTGCATCTTTCAGGAAATGTTCCTCAAAGATACATCTGATCCCAACATGTCACACTGAAACACATCTAGATGTCCTTGTGAGATGGCATCGCTTATAGATCTGGCTGCTGTTGTGTCGCTGTTCTCCTTATGCATAAATATTCTGTTCTCCTTATGCATTAATAATCTAGGCCAATATTGCATAATATTGCGTTGTGGTGGTGTATAGTATTGTGGGTAAACATCTGTTTTGTTTATCCATAAACATTTGAATGGACTTACTCGGACTGCATTGTTTATACAAAGGCCTGTGGTGCTGAAGCACTTGAGCCTTAATCCTATGGAGTAGGCTGCTCTTTTCGCGCTGCTGAGTTGGGCTCATTACTCAACATGATTGAGGGGCCGTACACAGGGCTCCCAGCATGCACTGCTTACTCTGGACCCCGTAGATGCGGGTGACTAGACATGAGATATCATGCAGTAAGTACCTTGTGCTTGATGTTTTGTAACCTTACACATCTCTGTATTTTATAAATACAAGACAAGTCAATCCAACCATCCATTTTCTATCATGGCCTCATATACTACAGGGTCATGGTTAGAATCACAGGGGCGCGAGGCTGCTTCACAGCAGGGCCAAATACAGGACAGACAATTCTGAAATTTAGTAAAAAAAAATATATAAAAGGAACTCATAGTTTAGTGCAGGAATGATGTGTTTTTGAAAGGCCTGCTTTCATTTGACACATGAACCACTTTTCTGGACCAGAAGTTGCATTCGGTTTGCTGAAACAAGAGCAAGAACTGTCGTGTGATTAGGTGGATGAAGCTTCAGCTGTCAAATGAGCAGCAAGGCCACCCACCCACCGCGGGGTCTTATTAATATTTAATTAGTGCTAAATGTGGACGTTTGTGCTAAGCGGTCATGCGTGCGACGAAAGCTGCTGAACTTCCTCACGTCTTCGAAGCAAACCGCACCCACCACATCCGGGAATACTTGGGGGGCACTGGGGCAAATGTAATGACTCTTTGGATTATTCTGACAAGTGAGTTGTAGAAAAAAAAATAAAATGCCTTAAAAAAGCAAGGGGGCTCCTGTTGCCCCCCCCCCATTCTAGAGGAGTGCTTTCAATACGCATCCTCTGTTAGCCTTCAGAAATCACACAGTTATTCACCCGAAGGCTCCTGTCCTTCAGTGTAAAGTGCTAACGACGACAAAGAAATGCCTTTTTAAGAAATTTTAAGTGCAATGCCATAAAAAAACGTACCCGTGAAACTTTGGATCAGCCGGTGCTTCAGACTGGAATGATCAGTCATGGTGTATCAGTCCCCGTGATGCGGGTTTTATACAGAACATTTTAATTAAAGTAACTGACAGCAGAAAAAAACGAGGTGATGTTCCCTTGTGGGAATAAAATCATATAATAATCAGTTATGTAAGAAATTTCTTGGTTTGAAGTAATACTGACCACTCAGACCTATTCTGCTATGCACAAAGTGGCTTGAAATATATTGAACTGAATTTCAAATGAATGTTTAATTTGGATAATTTCCTATTACGCCCTTAGAAAGTACTGTCTGGGCCACTGGTCATCATAAATCCATCCCTCCATTCATTTCCCATAACCGCTTATCCAGTACGGGGTCACAGAGGGTTATTGTCATGAATATTTTCCTTTGGCGTGCTGTGATTTTCACTCTCACAGCTAAAGAATAACCAGATATATTTAGCTCAGCGCTCTTTGTGGCTGCAGGTGGGAACAAGAAGCCACAGTGGAAGGAAAAGCAGATGTTCTTCATGGAATGCAGATGTGCGGACAATGTAACGGCCCTCCGGTGCCTGAGAGGGCATCGCCACTTTGGGTGTCTTCGGATGTTTAGAGGGGCATGTCAAGAGGATAGACAGAGCTAGCCACCACTGGCTAGCCACCACTGGCTAGCCACCACTGGCTAGCCACCACTGGCTAGCCACCACTGGCTAGCCACCGCTGGCTAGCTTTTCTGCCTAAAATTGATGTGGACACTGTGCATGATGTTGACACTGCATTTCCTAGCTCTGTCTATATTCTTGACATGCCTCCCCAAACAAGGTATCCTTGGTTTATATTGCAGTGCTGTTGTAGTTCTTAATAAAATAAAACAAAGTCAAGGGGATCCGGTATTGGCCATTGGATGTATTGTAATAAAAATGTCTAGTCATACCCAGTAATAAAGCCGTCCAGGTTCCTTCCTGATGGACATTCAATTCATAATAGAAAAGTTACTCTATTGAACCAAGGAAAGAAAGTAGCATATAGCAGCATATAAGTTGGCTTCCCTGCAGCTCTGCACTAAATTAACAGCTAGAAGATGGATGAATGGCTAATTTAGGCATTTGTCTGTGTTTTTTTCTTTTTTCTTTTACTTTAAAACACTTTTGTCCAAGCAAGCTCATTTGGCTCGAAACTTTATGACTCATATTTGTAAATATTTAACAAAGTCAATTCAGGTTAAACATAGTAATAAAGAGTACAAAAGAATGTCACCGCTAGGACTTCATTTGTAATACAGATCTTGGGCAATCAACTTCTGTGACACACACACCTCATAATGACATAGTAGATCGACCACGATTGTGTTCTCCTGAAAAGGTTATCCACTGATTAAAAACTGATTATTCCTTCATTCACTCAAAAATATGCCAAAATATTTCACCTATTTGCATTGCATTTGTCCACCTTTCTGTTTCTCAAAGGCTATTTGCAGCATTACATCATTTGAGAAAATACACAACTGGATACGTGACTGAAGCTTGACGATCAGGCTCAGAGTCAGAGCAGAGGATGATCGCCTGTGCCACTGCCAGCTGAATTATTGATGAGTCACAAAGAGGGATGGTCTGCACCTCCGCACAGATGAGATCCCAAGAACTGCTGCATCTCTTGAGAAAATCTGGCAGAGGGCTCGCACGAGAAGCTGAAGAGCCAGGTCTTAGCTGAAGGCCTCTATCTCCAAGAGTGTCTGCAGAGGAACCACCCTCCTAGTCAGGTAAACCATGGTGCATTAGTCACAACTGCCTCACAGATGGTGCACACACAGGGAATAGGCAGGCGGAATGGGAGGGGCCTTACTGGTGCAGGACGTTAGCTTGATGCACTGGGAAAGGCGCCAGTACGTTGAGTGCTGGGGTACGTGTCAGCCTGGTTTGCATGCAGTCTAGAGACATCTCTCAGCTGACATTAAACGCATGTCACTGTGTTCGGGACCTGCATATGATAGCCAGGAATCTGTTGGAAAGAAAATATTATCAATAGTACTCATAAGAAAATAAGAATCATCAAGCTCGTTTGAGGAGAACTCAATTAATAGCGTGAAGCTGTTAAAATCTTATCTAGCTCTGATTTAAAAGAACCCCAGGTTTTAGCTGGCACTACACTAACATGAAGACTATTCCATACTCTAACTGGAAGCTGTAGTATTTCTTGTGTTTGCATCCAATGGCGCTGGTCAGTCTCAGTATTCATACTCCTACTGAAATCTGTGAAATGGTTCTGCTACGAAGAACACAAACATATGCAAAGAGTCACATGCATAAAGGTGAGTAGTTTTTGAGTTACATAAAACCAGACTTCAATCATTATAGCCAGTTAATGGCCGTCACCATCACAAGGTCCATAATTATGGTATTTTAAATCTGCAGCAGAATTTGTACTGTAGATCAGCTGCAGTCAGAACTACGACTAAAAAGCTCACGGTTGGTCTGGTTTGCGAGGAGGAACCAAGGGGAAATATCACTTTGTGAGGAGTGACCTCATATGACACCGACAGGCAGTGAAAAGGGGGAGATCTGTGTCTTAAGGTTTTTGGTGCTTTGACAGCAGTGAAGCAGAGTGTCTCGCTCAGACGGAACAAAAACCTGTGCTATCCTTTGCAGGAGGTACCTTTTTGTCTTTTGCAAAAGGCCCTGTTGATATGGAATCCCACAGGGGCTATGGATGGCCAGACAATAAAAGGGGGGATTTGCAGTGTGCACTGTGAGTGTTCAAGGGCAACCTGATTGAGGCCATTTTTTTTAGTATAGTGGCAGGATGCATTGAAAGAGAGTGGAGGAAGCAGATGACATTAGTTTAGAGGAAGGGTGAAGATCTGTCAAATAAGCAGGTATTTACTGCCCATACAGGAACTAAAAATATGGTAGCACTGCGGGACAGCGCAGCAGCATGCTGCATGGTCACCAGCAGCGTAAATAGCGTAGCACTGGGGGTACCCATCGGACAGCGCAGCAGCATGCTGCATGGTCACCAGCAGCGTAAATAGCATAGAACTGGGGGTACCCATTGGACAGTGGGGCAACATGCTGCACGACTGCCAACAGTGTAAATAGTGTAAACAGTGTAAATAGTGCAGCAATGGGAGATGATTCAGGTGCTCATTATCTTACCTGTGTCTCAGTCAGTGACTACTGCCGACCAAAATTTTTTGTGAAACAAACTCCACACAAACCCCCAGCCCCCACCCCCCCAGGATAGTGTCAGACCTGGTCATGTATTAGTCATTACTATAAATATTATAGTAAATACTAAAATATTCATTACACTGCAGACCTAAACATTTCCCATTGCTTGCTAATTTCCATCTCATGTAGGCCTATTTAGCCTGTTTCCCGAGCCCTGAATTGTGTGACTATTACCTTTCTGAGCTTAGAAAGTGATACTGACAAAAGTTATGCTACCAGTTTTCAGCTGGTGCACCTTTTTCTGAAACAGTCAGTATACAAATACATTTAAAATGAATGGAGTGACTTGATTAATATGTGAGTTAGCTGCACATATTTACATTACTGTTTTGCTCTACATGACAGGTACAATGGAAATACATTGACAAATGGTTAAACATGGTCATAACAGGAAAGCACTTCTGTAAACTGCCCATGGTTTTCATGTCCGTCATGTGACCCTAAATGTCAGCTCCTTTCAACCCAAAAATGAAATTGCATCAATCCACCTTTTCAGAATCTCAAAGTTTTTCCTCAGCGTGTCCTGTTTGGCTAACTGCATACTGTTCTCAAGCTTACATACAACACATGCTGCAATAACAGTGTACTTGCAGTAAAGTATTATGCTTCTGACAAAATTAAGTACATACTGTGTAAGAATGCGGTGCATCATCGGAGAGGCAACGCTTCACTAGGTGGGTACAAAGAATATGTCATATTCCCCAAGTATCCAATCAACTACTAAACAGAAGGCGATGAGAAATACATTGAAAGCTATAAGCTTATTGAGAAAATATTTTGAACTGCTGCACTATTTTGGTATCACGTGGAAATTGTGGAAATCATCACGTTGTTGTGATGATACATTGGCATGAGAAAGACACTTCATGTTTCTTTGTTGTTTAGTGAGACACTGCTTCATCTGTTGTCATTCATCTGTTGTTCATCTATTACAAAGTTCAGGACTGTTTGGAAGTTCTCCCTAAACTAAGCTGGAAATGTCACATATATAGAAAACAAATATACACAGTATGCAGGTGTTACGCTTCAGTAATGTTATATCATAAATAAAAAGCATCTTATGAACATCTTTACTTGATTAATCTCTTTGTACTGGCTTTATGTTTCAAAAGTACTTTTTATTATACTCGCACATAATGAATGATTTTTCAAGTGCAGAGTTTCAATAGTCAGAAAAGGCAGAAAGTATAGCTAAATTTCATTAAAAAAAAAAACTTGAAGAACTGCATTTGTGTAGCAATTACGTGTTATTTGTCAGATCTCCATGACAATTTTAAATAACAACAAAAGGAACAACATTTATCCCTGTTTGCTTTTACCTAGGCAAGTTCATTTATTCATATCTCATCTGAAAAATGTGTTTTAACCAATGACTGGGACAGAAGACGATCTCTTATATGGCACATGTTGACTAAAAAACAGTCTTGCAAAATGTTCCCTCAAGGTGGAAAACTTGAGATTGAGATGAATACGGCCACAATGGTACACAGCCGTTCCTCATGTAAGGAAGGAAGCTATTTTTGAACATTCAGGATATGAGCCCAATACTACTGGGCAGAATGAAATATGTAGTAAACGCTGGGCTCCCTGGGGAGATACAGTAACTAATGCATGAACTTAACGGGCGTCAGGCACATGGCGCTGGCCCCCGACTGCTCTGACCCTGCAGACTGCCGGACTCCTGCTTTCCTGGACGAACGTCTGCCCCATTCCCACGTGATAACTCTGCAGGCCCAGAGAGCGCCTGTGTCTGTGCTCCTGCAGCTCTGCGCACAGTTCGTAGTACGTTAGTAATCCTATGCAATTGCTGGACTTAAGTCTTTTGAAGGATCCCTGTGTAGGTTTTTTACTGTAAATGCCAACAAAGATTTCAATCAGCGTAAAGCTCCTTTGAGGTTATTTGTAACGCTACTTTAGAACTCACCTTTAATTTGGCTTCACCATTGGTTCCCAAGATTGTATGTAGCATTGAAGTATTTTGTTTATTGATTATGATACAGCTGTGTGTGTAACACTGTATCGGCTCAGCCTGGCTCTGTGTGTCTGTGCCCACGCTGCATGGCTTGCCTCCCGCAGTCCAAAATCATGGGTAGGAAAACTGGGTCTCTTTAGTTGCCCTAAGCTACCTTTCACTGACACCAACCAAAACCCTCTGCTGCCATTTACACACTGACATGGTGTAGTCTTGCAGAGTGCAGAGTGATGTTAAGAGCTGTATATTTTATGTTTCTCTGTGCTTTTCAATATTTAAAATATTTTAGTGAAGAGGAGGCCAAAAACTCTATAATGCAAATTGTCAAGAGTTTAGTTTTAATGTATCTTCTGCCGAGCCATGTACTATACTTTAAATGCAGGTTAACTCCTCGTTGATTAATCATACACAACATTGAGACTGTTTATTGAGAAATTTTTACAACCAATGTGAAGACGACTTCATTAGAGGGCACATTCTTTCTGCTCTGCTTTTACATTTTCCTTCTTATTTCAGTGCTCCTCTTAATTTGCCTTGCGTGCGTGTCGATACAAAAGTCTGCTCCATACGTAAATGAAAATGTACTAATTCTGGTAAATGATGAAAATTTGCCATGTGATGAAATGTATATCCTTTATGTAGAACATATGAGAGATAGACGGACCAGCCTATCTCTGAGGGCCATCTTGGAGCCAGTTGTGAATCATTTGGCATAAAGTTTCAATGTGCTCAGCCCCAAGCAGTCCTACATCAAAGGCACTGAGGTTATCTTACTGTCATTTTTTAACCTCACAGCAAATTGACACTGGGCTGATTTAATACTCTCTAAGTCACAGTTGTTATAAATTTCATAAATTGCTTCCACTTCCAATATCTTCCCTACATATTTACTAATGCACTGTGACAATCTTTTCTTGAGCTTAACTTCTCCTATTTATTGGGTGTGGCTTGGAAGATAACTCCTTAGCTCCAGGGTATAACTTTTGCTACCTAAAAAAATGCTTTAAGTCTTAGTTGTTCAGGTTCCTATTAAAATATTTATTGTTCATATCTGAGTTAAATGGACAGTTAAAGACCACAAAAATGATCCACACTTGTCAGTAGACCTGTCTAATATGCTATTATGTTTTCTTACCAACAAGGGCGTCAGGTTTGACTAGTCCTCCTGTCTTCTGAACGCTGGGAACAAACCGGGATGTCTGTCTTACGGAAAAGCACAGCACTGCCACGGCCATTTTCACCACATTCTAGGGGGTGTGCACCCTCTACCCCTCTCCTCCCCTGTTACTCACATTTTAGGGGGTGTGCTCCCTCTACCCCTCTCCTCCCCTGTTACTCACATTCTAGGGGCTGTGCTCCCTCTACCCCTCTCCTCCCCTGTTACTCACATTTTAGGGGGTGTGCTCCCTCTACCCCTCTCCTCCCCTATACTCACATTTTAGGGGCTGTGCTCCCTCTACCCCTCTCCTCCCCTGTTACTCACATTCTAGGGGGTCTGCTCCCTCTA